TAAAAAAAAAATTGTTGACGCTTGAACTTTACCGCAAACCGATCAACACACCAAACATAGTAAACGCGAATAAACGGCAATGTAAAAAATCATGAGAACACCTTTCAACTAGAATGTACTCACCAAATAAACTCAAATTAAAAATGAACCCCGGGTGTCCACGATGAAATTGAAGTCCTGTGATCAAAACTCGCGGAAATGGAGTCGAAAGAACAGCTCGTGCGTGATAAAATCTTGCGCATTCATCACGATAACAAGGATCTCTCGCATCGTTCCATCGCTAAAACGTTGGGAATCGCAAATTCCACGGTGTCGCGAGTGATTAAGCGGTTCGAGGAACGGTTGACCACCGATCGGAAGCCCAGAAGTGAAGGAAAAAGAATTCTATACAACACCAAAAATCACAACCGCGTAGTTGGGGCCTTCAACCGAAATCGAACGCCTCCGTTAGTGATGTGGCTAAGAAGCTGCACCTAAGCCGAAGTTTTGTCCAGAAGGCCAAAACTAATGCTGGGCTTCGAACGTTCAAGGTACAAAAGGCCCCTAATCGCGACGAGAAGCAGAACAAGTCCGCCAAAACCCGTGCCAGGAAGTTGTACCTCAACATGCTGACGAAAGTTGAATGCTGCATCATGGACGACGAAACATATGTGAAGGCCGACTTCAAACAGATCCCCGGCAACCTGTTTTTCACGGCCAAGGATAAGTTCAGCGTTCCGGAGCATGTCCGCACTCAGAAGATGTCCAAATTTGCGAAGAAATTCCTGGTTTGGCAAGCCATCTGCACGTGCGGGAAGTGGAGTGCACCTTTCGTGACCCAGGACACGATGAACGGACAGGTGTACATAAAAGAGTGCCTCCAGAAGCGGCTGCTTCCTCTCCTGAAGGCCCACAACGTCCCAACAATCTTCTGGCCGGATTTGGCCTCATGCCACTACTCCAAGGACGTGCTGAAGTGGTATGCGGACAATAAGGTCAATTTCGTGCCGAAAATGTTCAACCCTCCCAACACTCCGGAGCTCCGCCCCATCGAGAAGTACTGGGCGATTATGAAGCAGCACCTTCTTAAACGACCTAAGGTAGTGAAGACAGTCGAGGAACTGAAGAAAGTATGGGTTTACATGCAAAAAACGGTTGATTCACAGGTTGTGCAGAATCTTATGGCCGGGGTTAAGGCCAAGGTGCAGGCATTTGCGTATGGACTGTAAATAAAATACGAGTAAAATGGTAAAATGAAGTTTAATAGTTATTTCTCAATCCCTGAAAATTTGATGGAAATCGGATGAAAACTCGAATTTTGCGAATCAATTTTGTGTGTGGCAATTTCATCGTGGACATCCTTTATGTACGAGATGTCATTCAGATTAACGGGGGTCCATGAAAATCGTTGAGTCACAGCGTTGAACCTGACTATTGGCCACGAAAAGGCTTGCCAATGCACATCAAAAATCGACTACATATATCCGAACATTTGTTTATCTCAAATCGACGGAAGACATTCCACGCAACTACCATAAACCGGACTAGCTCATGTTGATCTTCGTCAAGTTTCGTCTACAATTTGGAATTCTACATCAACACATGTCAGGCAGCCTTCAGGTTCAATTGGCTATACTTGGTGAGTTCGTTCAATTTTGTAAATTTTAATATTTTCAAACCAGTAACGTCACATTGTAGTCCTTGTTACTTTTTATGACGTGATAATAGTGACAAGACTCGGGTTCTGCATTTCTATATTGTATATTACAAATCAAAAATATTGTTTATGTTCATAGAGTTTGCATATTCCTTTTCCCTTTGTCCTTCTCCTTTTCCGAGTAATGGCGCTATAGCCATAAGTCATAAAAGGCTAGGACTAGAGTTAGTGCTCATGCCCCAACCGTCAGAAGAAAATGGAGCATCACTTAACCTTTCTAGCTTTGATGCTTCCAACGACCAACCAATCATATAATTACCAAAGCCGGAACGTACGGTACAGAATGTCCACGTTTCACCTATTTATTGGATTCTGAAGCATCGCGAAGGCTGAATGTTTTCTGAATCATCTTGCCCCTTAAATGCTGCCTGGTCGTTTTGATATGTGTGACGCATCTTCGATGTGAAACATATATCAATATCAATTTCCAGGATGCTTTCAAGAACTGACTGTGTTGGTGCTAGATTAGATTAGATTAGATTCGTACGATGGCGGTTGGTAGCAAATATATTTCTATTTCCTAAATTCCTAGATGGTGTACCGTATGCGTGATAATGGTTGCACCATCTTACAAATAAGGTTCCCGTATCACCTGTGCATACAATGCCTTGGTTTTTTTTTGCATGCACGTAACCTATAGATCATACCGTAGTAGGCTGTGTATGAAAGAAAATGATTTACTTAGTTTGACAGTTGCACCATGACAAAGTGGCAGCGTATTCGTGATTTTTCCCACGCACAAATGTCGCAAAAAGACATTTCAATCGCCGTGGAAGTGTCCCGGTGGACCGTCAAAAAAGCTTTAGACCGAGAAAAGAAAGGACAACTATCCACGAAGGTGGCCACAGGTCGTCCGAGGTCAGCTTGGGTTCCAAGGGTTATCGCTGCTATCAAAAGAAAGATTCGGGTGAATCCAGTGCGTTCAATAAGGAAAATGGCAAAGGAACATGGGATCAGTGACTTTACGGCACGGAAGATCGTGAAGGAAGATTACGGGGTGAAGTCAAGGGCACGGAAAAAAACTCACATGGTTACCAACCGCATCCGGGAGCTACGAGTCGAACGGTGCAAGAAAATCTTGAACTTCCTTAAGCGAAAAAATCCGGTAATCCTGTTCATCGTTTACCGTCGATCCCGTATCAAATTCCAGAACCGACCGGTATATTAGTTCTCTTCCGGTAAAAGACGTGGCCGACGAGCACAAGAACGTGTATCTGACCAAGCATCCTGCTAGCGTAATGGTGTTTGGATTGGTGGCTTCCGATGGCAAAAAAATGGACCTTGTGTTTATTCCAGAAGGCGACAAGGTCAACACGAAGGTCTACATCGGGATTTTAGGTAGGTATGCTCTTCCGTGGATCAAAGAACAGTACGGTCCGAAACCAAATGTTGTATTTCAACAAGATGGGGCTCCATGCCACACCTCGAACTGCACTCAGAAGTGATTGCAGGAACATCTTCCGTTCTGGGCGAAGAATATGTGGCCGCCATCCAGCCCCGATCTTAATCCCCTGGATTACTCAACGCCACCCTGTTCTAAACGCCACCCGAGTACAGCAAGCCTCAAACAAACATTGACCCGTACCTGGAGAGAAATGTATCCAGACTAAATTATTAGAACCTGCCGTGCGGAATGCGTGTGGAGGCCGTAATTGCAGCAAGTAGAAACTCGATCGATGATTAACATAGTTTTAGACTCTGAGAAACATCCCCGCTTTGATAAAATAAAAAAAAAACTCGAAAGCAAATTTTTTGAGATTTTTTATAAATTTTGACATTGCTCAATGGTGCAAACATTATCACGCATACGGTATATAAATTGAAGGATGATAAAAGTTCTAGTCCCAACCAACAATTTTGGTTTTATGAGGGTTCTAAAGACAATGATTTAGACTTGTAGAATGCTTTAAAACCTCGATAAATCTTGCTATGCTACTTGGTATTTAATCAATGCAATGTGATACGATATCGTTCAAGACTGAAATCATAGCACATTCATGACGCTCTTTTACTGTTTGGATATTTATGAGCATACATAGATGGCAGAGGATATAACAGTCCATCCTAACTTTCGGAGTGCATACAATTTTTTACATATTATTTATTCGTGTGTGTTTGATTGAAAAAGTAGACCCAACTAAGCTGTACTATACTAATATCAACCTTACATAAGCAATGTACAATGTTTTAATCGTATACGGATTGTGAAAGTTATAGTAGAAACGTTTTATGAAACTAAGCTTGTTGTTAACTCTGTTAACAATTGTATTATAATGATCGGTGAAAAGAAGCTTTGAGTCTAAGATAACACCTAGATTCCTGTTTCTATCACACTTTTCTACGTTCTAGTTTCCTAAAGTAATTGTTGTGTCGGGTATGTTTCGTTTTCTACTAAAGGTAATTGAGTTACATTTTTTAAATATAATTGCAACAGGCTTTTGTGACACCAAGCATGGAATAACTGTATTTTCTTTTTTAAAGGGGTTAATGTCATCGGCATATTTAATTTCTAAAATAAAGTTTACTGTAGTCAGCATAAATTGAAACTTTCAATTTGAATTACAGTCAGAAATATATCATTGACGAATATATTCACATATTTAAAATTGTTTTCATTGCTAAAATGTGAATGTTGTAAGGTAGGGAACGACAAATTTTTGATTTTTTGGCCCTCTTACGGTACTCTTAAGAGAGAAAAAATGTAACAGTAATACTCATAACTTTGATTTGAAATATGGTGGACAATGTTTGTGTTCCTTGAATTGCGTTATCCGATTTTGCTAAATAATTCTAATTTTTCGTATATATTTATTGTAATCTAATCAAATGTGATGTCACAAATTGTCACGTTTCATCGAACACATCCTTCCTGCTAAATGCGTGACGAAATTTGTGGATGACCTAACATTACAGTAATCGAACATGAAATAATATTTTTACATCATATGATAAATTTATGATTTTGTTTTCAAGCCACCAAGACTTCGAACAATAAATTGTTGTTCTTTTTAATTTGACAAGTGTGCGTAGCTGAAATAATCTTCAAACTCCCATCTCACGTAAGACATGAATTCGTAAAATTGCGACAACCCTTCCCAAACGGACTAAATCGTCCAAAATAAATCAAAAGCATCGCCTCGCGACGGTTTACGACCTAAATGGTCGATAAATGTTGTAGTGATAAAAGCTCTTCCCGAGCGCAATCTTGTTGGTCACCTGCAATCAAAGCCATGTGAATGAAAGCAAACAACCCCGTCACTCTCTGATCATCTTCGTCGTTGTCGTTCCCATCATCGCCACTTACCTTTTCTCTGATGTGCTTCAAGGGTTGTCTTCTTTTGCGGCCACTTTTCTTAGGAGTGTTTTTTCTTCGCTCAGCTTTTCAGAGCAACGTTTACTGCGATGAGCAGCAGAGCCACCGAAAATCGGAGTCGGAGCCGTTCTCTTCGCCACCGACAACGGCACGTGCTTCACACTTGTCGCACACAGCTTTGTGTTCTTCTCGATTTCGAAACGATAGTGGGAGGATGCTCGTTCGTTTTCGAAGTGTGATAGTTTTTCTTGCCTTTTCAAATTTTTCTGTTGTTCTGTTTAGTTCTATTATTACACGTTCGGTAGGGGGTAGGGCTGGATGCCGGTGCAGAGTTATTACGTGTTTACAGTTAGAGCGGTGAGAAAAAGATTCAGTTTAACACTTTTCACACTGGTTCGCTGGGATTGCTTGTTTCACTATTTTCGTTTTTTCGCTTGGATTTGGAGTTCGGTGGGTCCAGAGACGGGCAGGATTCATTCACTCGCGTACAGTACGATGTAGCAGAAATTTGCTGCGAGCCGAGAGGAAGCAACAATATTTCACCAGATTAGACAGTCTTCCGGGTGCTACAGGCGGGCGAGTGCTACGTAACGGAAATGGGTCTCAACAGCAGCAAGTGTGCCGGAAAAGAGCGTGACTCAAGCCAGAAGGAAAAACATGAAACGAACTTCCTTCGTCGTCCTTTCGGTAACTGTTTTAACTGCCGTTGCCCTTTTGCCTGCCGTCGAGGGTCGTGGCGAAATGTTTATGTGAAAATGAGACAGAGAAGACGTGGTCCTTTTTGCGTGGAACCCCGAGGACCTATTTGGTTCGTTGGAAGTAGCACTTGTTCATTCACAGCAAAAAAAAAACATATCACCCCAAGAAAGGAAAGGAAAAGCACTGTCACTTGATTTCTTTCCACTGTTTTGAATTTATGGTTCACTTTTACAAAGATTTTTTTTTTACTTTTTTCTGATTCGCCTTGTCGGCCTCTAAATTAAATTCAAGCACACTTTTACACTCGCACTTGGGTTCACAAAGTTGCGTTTTTTTTCTTTTACAAACTTCACTCGAAAAAAAAAAACAAGGGAAATATTCTACGTTGACTTACACTAACCGTAAAGATGAATGAGCTTTCCGTTTTTTTTCTCGAATTGAACAAGAATGACAGCGATAGCCAACAATCACAACCGTTCTAGAAATGAAGTGAGCTTAGCTTTCTCTCGAGGGTAGCTTATTTACGTAATCTAAATTACTTTTCCTCAGGCCGTTTCGATCTAAGGAGGATTAAGTCCGCGGATGAAACTAATTTACAAAACGCGGCTTGCTCCGATTTCCAAACTTTATGACGAAGGGACGGAAAGAATCTACTAAGGGGAACTGAGCTCGATCTATTCTTGCTAGGAGGGAAATCTGCTTAACAACGACTTTTTTACTTATCTAAATTGTAAATCGAAATTTGTCTATGCTATGTGGAATCACTGGATTTAGTTCGTACAATATGATTTGATTGTTCAACGTTGAAATCACTCTGTTGGCGGCGCCTACTTTGTCCGAAGGAGCAACCCTTCAAGATGCACCGTTCGACTCAAACTGCAGTTAATTGTGCGACGACGACGACGATTAGAGCATTCGAGGAAGCGGCGCACTGCTTTCTTCTTGGTTTGCTTGCAGCGAATTCAGTGGTAGGTGTTCTAGAGTCCACACAACGCCCACACACAGGCACAGGTCTTGCCACGTTGGTCGGTCGCGATAAACTGCTTGCACATCTTCCCGACTGACTCGAAACGGTTTCATTCCACCAGACAGGCAGTCTGCCACAGCACAGCCCGACCGAAACGGTGTTCCTGCTTCGCGCGCGTCCTACCCCAACGGGACCACCCGTGTCCGAGGAGTGCCTGTCGTCCTGTTGGTGTTTCCTTGTGCGACCGGCATTCGAAGGTGGTTTTTTTTTCCGTTGGCACTCTCGTGCTGTCAGTGACACTGTTAGTTTCAGGTGATTCAAATGATTGATTCCACCCAGAAATGATGCTGCACCTCACAAATCTGAGTCGAAATCGTTTTGAAATTAATCATTTACAATAGAGCCAGTTTCCACGTACATGTACGACTTGGGGATGGGGGAAGGATGGGTAGTTTTCCCACGCAGCAATAATCCTGACAGCATTGGGTGAGTTCCAGATCACTCAGTCTCTCGCATTGCAACCGAACGAGAAGAGAGTGAAAATGGGGAGCATGAGCTCCACTCAGCACATTCAGTTACCGGCAACAATCGTAGGGAGCTCTACATCGGCAGTTTCCCAACAACTTGGCTGGCTACTCGTTCGGAAAAGCTGAATTTTCATGCTTCAAGTGATGTTGATGTCTTTCTTCGTCGCTACCAATTGGCAGGGGGGCTTATGACTCAATTGTGGATAGCCCTTGGTAGCAACGAAATACATAAAGGAAATGTGTTGTTGGTCATTGGTAACATGTTGCCCGTGTCAGGCGTGCGTGGCAACTTATGCATCTTCATAGGAATATTTATACAGTCAACTCTCCATTTCTCAATGTTCTAACTCTCGATATTCCTCCCTATCTCGATGAATTGAGCAGTCCCTTCAGATATTCTGTGCATCGTTCTCTATGTCAGGATCATATTACTCTCCATATTTTCACGGAAATATTTAGTTCTCTAGTTTACACTTTTTGAAACCGAAGTGTTTCTAGAATCGTACTAGTAGCAAATATATTATATTAACTATATGATTCATTCATGCCTTTTCCATACCAATGGTGCCCAATATATATTGCTTCTCGCACCATCTAGCGTTGAAAAAGGCCAGTAACGTTTTTTTTTTGTTTACCCCTGTTTACTGTTCGTATCATGCAAGCTGACCACCATTTAATGAGTAGACAGCTAATTGCCTGGACACGTCCTTTCCCAGTCAGGTATGATATGGTTTATGAAACCAACTACCTTTCCAGGATTAGCAGACCAAATTCCACTAGGCTGTAAGATAACACTATGAAGAAATTTAGATCTACGCTTGTGCACCGCAACTGCAGGGCAGATGTTTTGAGCTTTCACGTTCTATGCTACAGAAACGGCAGATATCGCTCTGAACCTGACCAATGTTCTTCAAATGATATCTACTCGGACAGTGCCCAGTTACAAGGCCAGTGTATATACTAACCCAAGTAACATTTCTAGTTTAAATAGTAGTTTTAAAGAATGCTACAAGTCTAAATCATGGTCTACAGAACCCTCATAAAACCAAAATTGTTACTTGGAAAGAGCCCGTATATACTAAGAGCCCGTTTCTTGAGCTCCAAGAGCTTTTTGGTATGTGTTACGTTTGGAGTTATAAATCTTTTCGACTGGTTGCACTTCGTGACGGCCATCCAGTTGGCCATCTCCCTTTGTTCTTCCCAGCGTTTGAGTTCAATTTTTACCGTACAGTTTGATATTCCACAGTATGGTTCTGGGCCAATAAACGGTGAATTGGAACCTAATTTTGCGAGATCGTCTGCCCTTTCATTCCCTTCAATGCCACAGTGTCCAGGAACCCAATATAAGTTTACTGAAGTCTGTTTGCACAGCTGTCGCAACAAGAGAATACATTCCCAGACAATCTTTGAAGTACATTTGTAAACACGAAGCGCTTTTAGTGTTGCTTGACTGTCAGAAAAAATACAGATATTTGCACATCTATGTTTTCTCCTTAGGCAAACACTTACACATTCAAGTATGGCCACTAGACTGATGCAAAATTTTACTTTTTCGCTCCACAGTGCTTAAATGGTTTCAAATTGGGTCCTGATTAGCCACTCAAAGTTATAACTCATTTGGTTAGAAACAGAAATCTCAACTTTTTGTTCCTTGCCTTCTTGTCTTTTTCCATATTGAGCTGCGAAACAGTTCGATAGCCATTCTTATAGAAAATTTTCTCAGCTACAACTTTGCTGAAGATTGTTTCTATGTAAAACGAGACAGGAGAAAGTTATTAATTATATAAGAGATTGGTAAACTTATGACATGATCAAGCAGCTGCTCTGTAGGCAACACTGTATTTTGCAGTGTGACATAGTAGCCATGATTTTTGTGTCCTATTGAACGCCCCAGAAACACCAATGTTGCCTGCTGAGCAGTTGGTTGAGCATGATCATAAGACATCAGCGCATTGAACCATTGATAACTTTCGATCCTTGCATTTAATTAAAAAATGGTCTTCAGCAAAGTTGTAGCTGGGAAAATTTCCTACAAGTAAAAACTTTTGAAGCAGACCGATATGGTGAATTATTAGATAGACATGAACAAAAATCTTGGTTTTACCATAATAATTCCCATACAAACTTCAAATGCTTTGTGCCATCTCAGTTTCTCACCAAATGGGCTCAAATTTTGAGAGGTTAGTCAGGATCCGATTTGGAATCGTTTAAGTATTGTGGAGCGAAAATGTCAAATTTTGCATCACTCTAATGGCCACGATTTCCGCTTGAAACACTGTTGGACAATGGCCCATTGCTACTGAAATATTTGTCTCAGGGCCGAATATTCCTGCACCTGTTTGTGTTCCAATTTTTGAGCCATCTGTGAAAAATATGATTGAGCCTTGACGAACGCTAGGACCACCGATTTCCCAATCCGAACGCAACATTTCACAAAAGTTGAAGGGAGTGTCATAATTGTCCTCTGGTTTTATCCAGTCTCCATTCATACTCATCACTGGTCCTCTTTGGAAGTATTGTAAAATGCCTAGGTGATCAACCAGGTCACTAGGCATGACTTTTTCAGACTTTTTGAGCCTTAGAGCACTTTTTTCCGCTTCTAGTTGCACGTATTCATGCAAGGATGTGGATGGAGAATTGCATCTAACGCTTTTGATGGGGTGCTGCGCACCGCACCCGTTATAGCAATACATGCTAGTTTTAGTTTCGCCAGCTTCCTCTGTGCGGTAGCCTCTTTCGTTTTTGACCACCACACTAACGAAGCATAAGTTACTTTTGGACGGATTACTGATGTGTAAATCCACATTGTCATTGTTGGTTTCAAACTCCATTTTCTACCAACAGTTTTGGAGCATAATCACAGAATCAATCTGAGCATTCCAATTCAACTTGGCATCCAATATAACTCCTAGGTATTTGACCTGTTCACTAAGATGGATCTTTTCTCCTCCAAGCTTGAACTCCTTTAGGTTGAACTTCCTCTTTCTAGTAAAAGCAACGATTACTACTTTTGACGGATTAATGTTTAGGCCCTCCTTAAAACGCCAAGATTGGGTAAACTTTAGAGCCTGTTGAGTTCTTTCCTAGCCCAGAAGTGACTTTTCTTTTTGCAAGCATAGTATGAATCCAGTTGACGATGTGCGTGTCGAAGCTCCTTTTCTTCATGACATCAACCATAGAAGAATATGATGCTTTGTCAAAAGCTCCTTCAATATCCAAGAATGAACAAAGTGCGATTTCTTTAACTGAAAGTGATTTTTCGATTTAAGTTACCAAAGTATGGAGAGCAGTAACTGTTGATTTTCCAGATTGATACGCAAAATGAAAATTATATATTGGATGCGTTAACATGTAAGTTGAATTGATGAAGTCATTCAACACCTTTTCCATAGTCTTCAGTAAAATTGATGAGAGACTAATGGGCCTAAATGCTTTTGGCTGCGTTTTATCACGCCTTCCGTTTTTCGGTATGAATATAACTCTTACCAATCTCCATTTTGATGGAATGTAGTTTAATCTTTTTTTTTTTCCTTTGGTTTGTTTTTTCTGTCGATCTTGTTTTCCGTGCTGAGCACCAATGCTACCGACGTGCCAGGAAGGCAGCTCCCACACCTGGACCCTAACTATCGACCCATCAACTCATGAACCGGGGACCAACGGCTTTACTTCCCATCCGAAGAAAGGCGTGATCAGAGATGTTATGCCTCAGAACATCCCGGCGGCGCCGACTGGGATTGAACCCAGGCCTGCTGGGGTGAGAGGTAATCACGCTTACCACTACACCACCGGCGCCGTTGTAGTTTAATCTTAAACTCGCCTTATAAATCTTAGTTAAAGACGAAATCAGCATTGCTTCACCAGTTTGAAGTAGTGCCGGGAATATGCCATCCACACCCGTAGATTTAAAAGGCTGAAAAGATCTCACAGCATTCTCCACACATTCTCCAAAATTTCATCAGCTATATCTGGTATGGTGTTTTGTGTTCTCTGAGACACTGGCGAGGTCTCTATAGAACACTTTTCACCAACAGAATCAGAATTATCTGATTCCACACACAATGCCGAACCTGGAAAATGTGTTTCCATCAATAAATTTAAAGTTTCAGAGGGAGATTTGGTAAAACATCCATCATGACGTTTAAGATTACCAAGTTCAATCGTATGGTCTTTCACAAAAGTTTTTTGGAATCTCGCGACTTTATGAGTAGGGTTTTTGATCTAATTTCCGTCCTACTAAGGACATCCCGCACTTTACCACGCTTTTTGGAAGGCGTTTGAACAAAACATGGAATATTTTCATCAAAGATAACTTCTAAATGTATCCACCTTTCCATACGTACCGTTGGATTTGATAAAGAGTCAAACAATATTGAGATATTATTAAAAATCTAACACTGCTTCTTGCTTCTAAATTCGTCCTACGCGTTTCAATTCCGTCCAAACGCATTGAAACGCCATTAGATTTTCTCCGTCCTACGGATAAACGGAGAAAAAGGGGATGCACTAGGAGCGCTTTTTT